CGATCCATCTCTCTAATTTGTTCAAAGCCACAAGCGAAACCGCTCTATCCATCTCCTACATCTTTTATGCAGGACAATCATTTGCAACTGTTTGAATTCGTCGGGCGAATGCTCGGCAAAGCGGTTTACGAGGTAAATTACTCTTACTCATCGAATAATTTAATTATTAAAATTTCATCAAAATTATTTAAAAAATATAGAATAATAAAACAAAGTTTTGAAAATAATCAGAATATTTCTTATATTAACAGAAATACGTGATTTAATTATTATTTTAATTGTTCATTATTTATTCATATAATTTTATTACATGGATTATTTCGCAAAAAAAATATAAAATAAAATATAATCATTATCTCTGAATAACTAATTTCTTCATAATGATCAATCTTTTATTGCTTTTCAGGGCATTGTCGTGGACGTGCCTTTTGCGTCATTCTTTGTGTCGCAATTTTCCGGGCAAACAGGCGGTGCATTGTACAGTTGGCTAGACGAGCTCGCTTCGTTAGATCGCGATCTTTACCGTAGCCTGACCTTGGTAAAACATTACAAGGGCGATATCCGGCAACTGGAGTTGACATTCTCTCTTGATGAGGACGTACTCGGCAAACTGGTTACGCACGAGCTGATTCCTGGCGGGCGTACCACTGCTGTGACCAATCAAAACAAGATTCAATATATCCACCATATGGCGCATTATAGAATGTATCATCAGATCAAGGAGCAAACGACCGCCTTCATCAAAGGATTCCGCTCCATCATTAATCCCGAGTGGCTGTCGTTATTCTCGACGCCCGAGGTGAGGATCCAAGAAACTTATTTGCATTTATTTGCAGCGTATAATTGAGATGTCAGAATTAAGCAGCATAAAATTATTAATTTGAATGTCGAATCGAATGTAATTACATATAATTATATATATAAATGACTTAACAATTCAATTAAGAAATTATTTTAATAAAGTTGAAATTTAAGCTCTATATTTTAAGAATAGATTTAAGAATAGAAGAAACATTTAAAGATGAATATCCTATGATATCCTATACAAAGAAAATATCATATTATGATTAAATGTCACCATATAGTATATTATTAATATATTTCTAAACATTTTTATATTAGCATTTATTTAGAATTATATATACATATATTTAATTAAGTAATCACGGTGTTTTACAGTTACAGAGATTAATTTCGGGCGATAATGTACCTTTGGACCTGCGAGATTTACGAAAACATACACAATATTATGGTGGATTTCATGATAGTCATCGGGTGGTATGCTGGTTGTGGGATATTTTGGAGAAAGATTTTACAGAAGAGGAAAGAGGCTTATTCTTAAAGGTATCAATCATATTATGAAATAACAATTTCTCTCAATCCTGTAATGGTGTTTTCAAGATATTGATATTTCTAATATCGATCCTACATTAATGATCTTCTTAAATAATATTTCTGATGTTTATTACAGTTTGTGACGAGTTGCTCGAAGTCACCTTTGCTGGGTTTCGCTCATCTGGAACCGCCTTTCTCTATACGATGCGTGGAAGTCTGTGATGACGAGGACACCGGCGACACTATCGGTATGATCGTTATAAAGTAGTTTTAAAAAAAAGACAAATCAACTTTTCATAATTAGCAATAAAATCAAGCAAGATATTGGAAAAACCTTCAACACCTTTCAAATTCCATATTGTACGATTGATAATATTCGATTATACATATAAATCTATGCTTTAAATTTCAGATGAATGAATAAGTTATACAAGTTTTTTTTATATAGTTTATAATAATATATATCAGATATTTTCATATTTTTAATTTTGAGATCTTACAGATTTCTTTAATTATAAATCTAACAGATAACATGAATTTAAAAAGATAATTTTACAAAAATATTGTTAGTTCAATTTTTAGATTATCCATAAATGACTCTTAGTAAATTTAATTTATTTGAAATTTTTGCGATTCAGGCAGCGTAATCAGGGGTTTCTTTACAATCCGCAAGAAGGATCCACAGAATCGATTGCCCACTTCATCAACGTGCTTTAATCTGCTCAAGCTACCAAATTATCAAAAGAAGAGCACGTTGCGAGAAAAACTTCGCTATGCTGTCACTAGCAATACTGGTTTCGAACTCTCGTAAATGCTATCGAATACTTTTATTCCAAGAGAAGTGATAAACAAAACTTTATGCGAATTGAAACAATACGTGTGACAGCATAGTTTTCAACACAGTTTGAACAAAATGAGATTTGATTAGCGATTAGAAATGCCGTGAGAGTTTGCAAGACTCGACTGATATGATCGATACTTCAAATTCGACATTATACAAAGCGGTATTGAGTGATGCCTAAACCGCCCTTATTCCCATCCAATACATAATCCATAACCCCAATTAAGCATGTTGTTATTTGAATGTCGATTTTCAGACGACATGAACATTTTAGAGATTTAGAAGCGTCATTATCTTCTTTAAAAAGATACTGCGGCTTCAGTATTGTTGGCATCGTGAAGCAACATAAGAATGTACAATAATGAAT